AATCTGGGCAGATCTGATAGTCACGGATGTCCAGTAGTGCTTGAATTTTTTTTTCTACAAATCCAGATTACTTAAAATTTTAGGTGTGTGTTCTTCTCATCAGGCGCACCTAATAAAAATATAAAAAAAATTTATTCGTAAAAAAAACTAAAATACCCCCGAATATTTTCAGGGGCATTTTGATCAATTTATTTCATATAAAATATTTTTTTGATATTTTTTGAAGATTCATCTATATTTTTTGAACACACGTCTAAAATTTAAAGGGGTTTGGGTTTGTAGAAAAAAAATAACATTTAAACACTACCGGACATCCGTGATCGTCAGATCGGCCCAGATTCAATCTAGGCCGTTGGGCTCATATGTTCATATGAGCTAGTAGGCTAATCCCATTTTTTTCAGATATATATATATTTAAAGATATTCTAAACTTCACAACCCTTTAAATTACAAAGGTTCAATATAGAGAGAACTGTGAAGGGTGGATTTATTAATTTTGTTGTCTATGTTTTAAAAAAATTACTTTTTTGAAGCAAATTTGTAAATATTACTACAAGACAAATGGTATTTTTGTCATCTCCATAGGGGGTAAAATTAAAATTTTAAATAAAGGACAAAGCGACTCTACAAATAAAGTTTTAGGACACTAACTTTCAAAATGTTTTTGTATTTTTTTTTAAATTTCAAATTTACCCTTACTTCATGATAAAGTTACCTATTTAAATAATTTTTTATTAAAGAAATAATGATTGTTTTGATAAATTCACCCATCACAGCCCTTTCTAATCTGAACCTTTGTATTTTGAGGGATTGTTAACTCGAAACAAACCTATATATATATATCTATATATATATAAAGTTTATATAAGGTGTCAACCTTATACTATTGAAGTAAGGCCACCTCAAATTCCTTTAGAGCAAAGTATTTTGATGTTAGAAAACCCCCCAATTTAATCATATTGACCTCAAGATATATGGATATGAAGAGAAAAAGAATTTAAGCCTTAAAAATAATGCATATTGTAATAAATTAATTGCACCGTCTATTTTCAAAAAATTTAAGCATTTATAGTTCTGCTCATGGGAGCTCTAAATTTCATAACTAAAATTTCATAACTAGAGATGAAAACTAGATTTTCAAGCCATCATTAGCTTTCTAACAACATAAATATATCTCTAGTAAAATCTCAGAGGTTCTTCTTACTTTTATAGTAGAAAGATGGTGCCGCATACAATGCCTCACCCAAATAGGGCGCATGCCAAAACAATTTTAGATTCCCACTAGAGCATTTCATCAGTTCACTCCAAAACCCAACCCAGCAGATTTTTTTGGCTCTCAATTTTTTGGAATATAACTTTCTAAACCTAGCGACCAACTCTAAAAACAATGAAAGAAATAATAAAAAAAAAAATCCAATTGTTTTTTAAAAAATAGTGATTCGACATTTTTTAGACGAAAAATTATGGCTCCTTTGCCAGAGGGTGTAAATGTGCAGCGTGGTCCCTCCTGGAAAATATGTTTTTTGTGCTAACCTTCGCTTATTTATCTCACACTACATTTTTGTAATCCACCCGAAACATGTAAAACTAGGGTTGACAAAACCCATGTTATTTTAGTGGGGCCATGTGAAAAATCTTTGGTGCATTAATAAAACATGATCTGCCGGACTAGCCCAAAAAGTTCCCTCCACATTATTGGATGCTAATTATTGTCATTAGAATATATTAGTTATTGTTATTAAGCTGAATAGGTCAATCAGGTGGTGACAGAAGGTCCTTTCCCAAAACCTACCAAAAGAAACAAAGAAAAAGAGTAAAATAATATGAATCAAAGCATAATTTTCACAAACTACATGATTGGGTAGTTAAGCATATATATATATATATATATATATATATATTTATTAATGCATGTATACCATGTTGTGATGAGGTGGGAGAATCCCCTTCTTCAACCTTCTTAGAGGTGGGAGGATCCCCATCTTCAACCTTCTTACTTACATTCTCCACCTGCAAATTCACTGCAATAAAAACCTCACCAAATTAGCATCTTCCCTTATGATATGGTGTCAATTACAAAAGCAGCCTCAAAGAAACTAACAATGCCAATTGTCAGCTGAAAGTTTTTATCAAATTGCTATTAAAATTTAATAAAGAGATTGTATATTATGAGATCATTTATTTTTGATAGAAAGACATCATAATTGTTTCTAGCCATTCGATATGAAATTCAATAGATTAAAGTGTGTCACAATATTCAAGAAATATTACTTTAGACATTATGTTCAATTAACATATCCTCAACTGCCTAATTTCACATGCAACGGTCAATAACGATTGTGATCTTCTTGTTCAAAAATAAATACTCATTGTATACATTTTCATTTGTTAAAGTTACTTCAAACCCACAAGAAAAACATTCGGAAAAACTTCAAACCCAAAAAGTTAGTATGATCCTACTACCTTCCCATTAAATGCACCTTCACTTATCAAAAATGATATTAGTCTAACAAAATTACGGTATACACATTATCGTTCTAGTATTGCAATTTATCGCACCATTTCTATCAACATAATGGTCATTGTTAAGTTTTTTAATCACTTCCAATGCATTGTAATTATCAATTGAAACAAATTTACGAGAGAGAGAATACCCAATACTATAGACGGAGAATTCAAGTTGAGAACAAAAATGTTTCATGAAGATCATCGAAAAGTTTGACACACTCATGGGAAGCACAAGAGGAAATTACAGACATAAAACTTTCTATTTGGGAAAATTGAAATAAACTTTAGAAAAGCGAAAATAACATCAAAACGCAAATAAAAAGCAAGGGAATTCAAACTAGATTATAACAAAACTGGAATCTCACACTTTTTTCGAGAATGAGGTTGGGGTCGTGGTGGTAGTACTACCCGAGTCTAACTTAAAAGGCAGTGGCCTCCATTCTCATTAACAATTTCAAAAATTCGAACTCTTTGCAAAATGGGATAAGGGCCTGTAATTGATCTACCTAAAAGAAAAAACATCTCTCTCTCTCTCGAACCGAAAGTATAATGCAAGAAGGAACTTACAGTTAGGTGAAGGAATCTGATGGGATTTGAAGAGAAGGGAGAGGTAACAGAAAGAAAGAAGAAGGAATCCCATGGATAATGCACCATAGCCCAATTTGCTGGGTTCATGACGACTGAAACTACTGAACAAAAGCTTCATATCTGTAACTCTCTGTGACAATGGACTCCACTGTTATGAACGGGCTTTTATACTGGCATCTTGGTTTTCCTTGCTTGCCCATCTCTTATTATAGTTGTCATTTCCTTTTAAAAAGCAAGGATTTTCATACCTTTTGACTGTCTCAAATGTGCACATGTATAGTTCCTGTGTTATTTGTCGGATGCATCTCAGAGTAATTGGTGAATCCCAAGATTTTTCTCTTGCAGTTATAAATAATATTGGATCTCTCTCTCTCTCATGCAAAGTTGTAAACATGCCTCAGGTTTTAATTGTTTAAATTTTAATAATGCTCAGGTTTTAAGTGTTTAAATTTTGACATTCCTTTTGGGATGAAGTTTCTATAGGCCTAGGATTTATGGAAATAAAATAAAGCCTCACCTCAATTCCTCATCCGGAGAGCACTTTAGCCATTGGAAATCTTCATGAAGGGTCTAAAATCAATTTCCAACACCAATAATAAAATTTGAAACTCAAAAATAGTACAGATCTTACGGTTCTATTAACATTTATTTTTAGGGAGGAATGGATGGTCTAGATGATTTGTTGCAATATACCCTTTTTTTAAAACTTAAAATCCTACCTTGTTTCACCACTATAATGTTCAAGTTGAGATAATCAATTTAAAGGTTTTTCAACACTTGAATTATAATTTTGGATGAGTTATAAGATGAAGCTTTACATATTTTGATAGGGCTTCCTTTTGGCATTTAGAATGGACGGAGTACCATAATCCCACCTTAATAAGACAACGAGGTTGCAACCAATTCGTTGGATGACATGAGCATTAATATATAATCTAAATAACTACGTGAATTCAACTACCTCAAAAATATATAAAAAATATGTGAATTGACTCATGCTTAAAGATTACCATCACAAATCTGGTGTAAAGTTTGCATCGTTGAAAATAGAGTCCACTAGAAAGGCGATTTTTATATCCACCCATTGTTCCGTCAAAATAAAAAGGGAAATTTATGTACAAACAGCAATTCTTTTGCGGAATTATGATTTGGTCCATATTTTGAAATTTTGATGTTGGGATCCTATATTTTTCAAATTTTCCTTTTATTTATTTTTACCTCCAGTTCAATGTTGAAAATATTGAGCCCCTTTTTTACTTTCTTGGTAGTTTCTTGTGTAGTATGATGCTCCCGTTATTAGGCCGACAAATCTCTAGGGCAGTCCGGTGTTAGAGATATCAAAATGTCATATACGTAGCTTATTTTTATTTTCTTTTGGAATATACTAGTCTAATATATCCAATATCAAGCTGTATTTAAACGTAATATACATATATATATATATATGATTGGGTCAGTTCAAAAGCTCTAACATTAAACAAGCCGATACTCTACTTCTTTTAAATTAACAATGTCTCAAATATCATGCATTCTTAGTGGCACTCCACGTTACCAAATAATTATTGCACGTATGGTCATGGTCCTATATAGCAAAAGGAAAAATTTGACGATCCGACATTAACAATAATGGATCAACCCAATTTTATACTCGTTTAATAAAACGCAGTTTGATGTATACTTTAATAAAAAGTGCTATAAGGTAGTCTGATGTTTTTGATATTGGACCGACCAAAAAATAGGTCATTCTTACTTGGTCGGTCCAATATTTATAGCAAGATTTGAAATATCGACAATCTAGATCGGAATCGTTTGATCCGGATTGAATTTCACACTAGACGAACTGGATCTCCATATATGTCAGGATTGGCCCAATCCACCCCTTGGATCGCAAACTCTACTTTTGCACTTCGGCGATTCTCTACAGTAGGATCGTTGATCCACAGGGAAAAAGAAATTGCAACCCTTCATTCTCCTTTTTGTTATTGGAATCTCCATTTTGCAGCAGTATTGGGGCCAATAATAGATCAATGCCTTCTCATCTATAAAAACAACATTTGATGACCACAAAATCAAAAGAGAAATCAGTTCCCCATTTTTTTTTCAAATTTTTAGGTGAAAAATCAACATTTTTTCCTAGTTTATCATAGCAGTCCACCACAAATTGAATTTTGCTACGATTGCTTCATGTTTTTTGTTGTAATTTTGTTTGGGAGAAATTATGGATACGTTCCCAAAATGAACTTTATAGACATTCTACCTCCCAATACTTTTAGCATCACACCCATAACCCAGTTATTATTTTTTCTTATTTTTTGCCTAGCTAAAAAGTCAATGTTTTAAAGACTGAACTACCTATACCCTACCTATTAAATCTCTCTCTCTCCCTCTCTCTATCTCTCTACCCGCCCTCTCTCCCTTTCTCTCTCCCTCTATCTCTATACTCACCCTCTCTCCCTCTCTCTCTCTCTACCTACCGTCTCTTTCTCCACCCAATTTCAGTCTCTCTTTCTCCCCTCTCTCTCCCTCTACCCGCCCTCTCTGCCCCTCTCTTTGTCTCTCTATACCCACCCTTCCTCTCTCTCAAAGGTAATAAAAAAGAAAAACGCACAATGTGGTGTATCTAGCCCGAAAAATTATTTCGGGTTCCTGTGATTGTTTGAAGGTATTTTTCAATACTTATATCCTCGATGCGAAAAAGGAGAAATATTTTCACAACCTAGATCCGCAGGTACCAAAATTCATGTGGACTACAGAAGTCCTAGGACAATAAGCCTTGATCCAAAAGTGAAATTTCTAAAAGATTCAGAATGGCCCAAGAATGTTCAAGATCATGCCTAAGGGTCTCTTGATAATACCTTCGAAGTTTCATCGCGATCCGAGAAGTTGAAGGCAGTGCAGATGAAGACACAGTTTTGGAAAATCGACCTCTATCGCCCAGAAACTGAACCTTATAACTACAGCCCTATCACCGGAGTGTCAAATGATCGTGGGACTATCACTATTAGATCCAGAACATCCAAAAATCCCTAGAGACCAAGTTTCAGCTTGATTGGATATTTATGGACCAAATTATGGCCAAATTATCCAAAACAAGTAGGTCACACGCTATTACTATGTACCCTCAGTGAACCAGTTTCCATTAATGAAAACTGTGCTTTTAGGTTTTGGGCTGAATTTTGAAAGCCCATATCTCTCTCGTTCGAGGTCGGATCAAGCTAAAATTTTGAGAGCATGTTCGTCTCTTGAACCCGAGCATTTCGATATGTGGCACCACCCATGTCGTAGCCCGAACCGAGATAAAAACAAGAGAGAAGATTGCGATCCAAGGCAATGTTGCAGATTTTTCAGTAGAACAATACCTCGATCGAGCCACCACATCACAACACTCGCACTTCGGATCGGCCCAAAACCAGACCCATTACGAGCAAGAGGTCAAAGGCTTCATCTAAACCGAACCTCGCACGTGATAGACGGTCAAAATCGACACACGATGAGTACGAAGTTGTTGTAATTTCTGGCCACCAAAACTCAAATTTGGAAAATGGTCGTTCGGACACCAAATCAATTCATGTTCGTCGCCAAATGCTCATGACGACATGCTCGTCAAAATATAGTGAAGAAATAGTAGAAAAACACTGAGCAACGGGCGTAATCTTGAATCAAAGATCGCATGTTTCTTATGATCTTTACATCTCATGATCGTGGACCAAGAGTCCGATCCATAGCTCAAAATGGATACCAAAACAACCATCTTCACCAGCTGATCAAGAAAAGTATAATCTTTTGATCGGATGAAAATCGGAAGGACCCTGGACGGACATCAGATGATTACAAAGGTTGCATGGCCATGACAGGGACGTAATTGAAATTCCATCATTTTTCCCTTAATTTCTTAATTTTCTTTAATTCATTAAATTCCTATTTTTCAACAATTAGGTTAAGATTTGAGCATCCACCCACATTTGGACTTAAACTCTTTATAAGCATGTAAAGCTCACATGTAAAAGGACCCCTCTTGATCAATTGAAAATAGGCTTTTACTTCAGTTTTTGTGTCACGGTTTGGAGATAGATAGAAGTTCTAGGTGGGTACCTTTGGGCATTAAAGGTAATTTTCTCTCTCCTCTCTTCTTTCTCTCATTCTCTCTTCTTCTTCTCTCTTTCTCTCTCTCTTCTTTCCTTCTCTCTTTCTCTCTCTTCTTCCTCTCTCTTCTTTCTCTCTCTTCCTTCTCTCTTTTTCTTTTTTCTCTCTTTTTTCCTTTCTCTCTCTTCCTTCTCTCTAATTCTTTCCTTTCTCTCTCTTCTTCTTTCCTTTCTGACTCTTCTTCTTTCCTTTCTCTCTCTTCTTCTTTCCTTCGTTGTTTTTGTTTCTTTCTTTTCTCTCTCTACTTCTTTCCTCTCTCTTCTTCTTTCCTCTTTCCCTCTTTTCTTCCTCTCTTCTCTCTCTATGTCTGGCACAACGGGGTATATTGCCATGTGTGTTTTCTCTCTATTTGGCATGGTAGAGTACACTGTCATGCACTTTTTTCTCTCTCCTCTCTCTGTCTGACATGGCAGAGTACACCGTCGTGCACATTTTCTCTCTATCTGGCATGACAGAGTGCACCTTCGTGCGTGTTTTATTTCTCTCCTCTCTCTTTCTGACACAATAGAGTACATCAGCATGTGCATTTTCTCTCTCCTCTCTCTCTATCTGGCATGACGGAGTACACCGCTGTGCATGTTTTCTCTCTCTGTTTGGCACGACGGGATACACCACTGTGCGTATTTTCTCTCTCTTCTTTCTCTTCTCTTTCTCTCTTTTGCTTGCTTGACCGAAGTGTAGGCTGAGCCTTATGCTATCGTGTTAGTCTTGCCGTCGAGCAGTCTAGACGCCGCACTGGTCTAGTCACCGCGCTTGTCTAGCTGTCGCGACAGACTAACCGTCGTGCAGGTCTCGTTGTGGTGCCAATCTTACTGTCGTGCCAGTCTTGTCGTTGTTCCAATCTTGCCATCGTGCCAGTCTTACTTCCGAGCAGTCTAGCCACCATGCCGGTCTAATGACCGTGCCCGTTTAGCTGCTGCATCAGATCTGCCATCGTGCGAGTTTTGCCGCTATGCCAGTCTAGTCGCCATACTTTTTCTTTCTCTTTCTCTTCTCTTCTCTCTTTTCTTC